AGCAACTTCTGAAGAAGAATCAAAAAGCATAGAATCTTATAATAATTTTTTGCTGGTAGTTTCAACAGATGGAGCCAACAAAGTTTGCGAGGGAAATATTTTTAGTGCAATATAATATTTAATGAGAATATTTTGCTATGACTGCTTAAATATTCAGGTGAGCGATACAGGCCCTCTTGGGCCTCTTGTTTATATCACAACATAGTATGTTATTTGAACATTATGTAGAAATGCATTGTTGTTGTGTAAAGTTTGTGAAACTTTGTTCATTGTGACATTTTTGCTATGACACAGTAAAGTACATTGTTTGTTATAATGTTATTCATACACAATGTGCAATTTTGTTTTATATTGGTTATTACATTTGAAGTAATTTTATTGGTTGGTAATGCCTACTGTATTATATTCGTATATAAAAAGTGCTATATTGTATGTTGTAAATTGTATATATGACTTTTTGGGATTTAGAATTATTATTGGTACAAATGTAAGAGTTGTCTCTCTTTTTTGTTTATTTTTTTTTTGTATCTTTAAAAAAAATTGTATAACAAGTAAGTCCTCAAGATAGGTATTTTTTGTCACCTATATTTTCTTTTCGTTGTCCTAAACGTGTAACATTGGCACTCGGAATTTTATTGATTCATGTAACGGGCTTTTTTGTTTGTTTTAGTATTATTGTTAGAAAATTACTCAGTTTTTTTGTGTTTTGTTCATCAATATTGACATTGTTATTATTTTGTATGTGTTATATTTCTAATAAACCATTGTTGCATCAAATAAAATGTATTTTGTTTCATTTTGTTCCATTGAAAAAAAATATAAAAAAAAAATCAAAATTTCATAATGTCCCAAAAAATCTGAAGAAACTACTGCAAGGTATGGGTTATTGTTCAGAAATGAGATGATTATGCAATAGCGATGCTGTAGAAAAAAAAAAAAATGCCTCATTAAATTTTTAGCTCACCTGGCCCGAAGGTTGATGATATTTGGCCAGAAGCAAACTAGGATGAAGGGCTACCAAGTTTGATCAAATAAATGACCTTCACCTATTTTCAAGGTCACAGGGGTCAATTGTCTTAAAAAATCTTTATACAACTTCTTCTGAATAACTAAGAGGCCTAGGCTAATGATATTTGGCAAGTAATATGCTAGAATGAAGGGCTACCAAGTTTGTTCAAATGAATGACCTTTACTTATATTCAAGGTCACAGGGGTCAAATATGTTAAAAACCTTTAAACAACTTCTTCTGAATAACCAAGAGGCTTAGGATAATGATATTTGGCCAGTAGCATGCTGGAATGAAGGGCTATCAAGTTTGTTCAAATGAATGACCTTTTCATATATTCAAGGTCACAGGGGTCAAATATGTTTAAAACCTTTAAACGATTTCTTCTTAATTAGCCAAAGGCCAAGGGTGATGATATTTGGTCATTAACAGGCTGGGATGAAGGGCTACCAATTTTGTCAAAATGAATGACCTTCGCCCATATTCAAGGTCACAGCGATCAATATATGTTTAAATCTTAAAATGACTTGTTAGCTCACCTGGTCCAAAGGACCAAGGTGAGCTTATGCCATACCGTGGCGTCCGTCGTCCGTCCGTCCGTCGTCCGTCGACTGTCGTCCGTCGTCCGTCGTCCGTCGTCCGTCCGTCAACAATTTCTTTAAACGACTTCTTCTTTTTAACCACTGATTGGAATTTAACTAAATTTGACTGGAAGCATCCTTAGGTGGTGGGGAATCAAAATTGTACAAATGGTGGGGCTGACCCCCCAGGGGGCTGAGGGGCGGGGTAAAAAGGGGGCAATTTGGCTATATTGCTTTAAGAGACTTCTTCTCTGGAACTAAGAAATGGATATCAACCATATTTGACTGGAAGCATCCCTAGGTGGTGGAGATTCAAAATTGTACAAATGGTTGGGCTGACCCCCCAGGGGGCTGAGGGGCGGGGCCAAAAAGGGGGCAATTTGGCTAGATTGCTATAAACGACTTCTTCTGTAGAACTATGCACTGGATATCAATCATATTTAATCAAAAGCATTCATGGGAGGCAGGGATTCAAAATTGTACAAATGGTGGGGCTGACCCCCCGGGCTAAGGGGTGGGACCAAAAAAAGTTTATTGCCTGGAAATGGTTGAGATCCCCACCATATAACCACATATACAATTGCTGAGTATAAAGAGAAGAATGCACATTTGCTTCCAGGATGGCCCTAGGGTCTGGCCCCACCCTTGGAAACATAGTCCTTGGGCCATAACTTTAAAACGGCTGAGATCCCCACTCAAAAACTATATATACAAATGCTGGGCATAAAGAGACGAATGCAGTCACAATATTAGAATAGACCCTGGGGTCTGACCGAACCCCTAGGGACCTAGTTTCTTAGTCACAGCTTGGAAACAGTTGAGATCCCCACCCTATAACCATATAGACAATTGCCGATTACAAAGAGATGATCATGAATGCACATATGCTTCCAGGATGGCCTTGGGGACTGCCCCACCCTTGGAGACTTAACCCCTGGGTCATAACTTTGAAATGGTTAAGATCCCCACCCCAAAACTATATATACAATTGTTGGGCATAAAGAGACAAATGCAGTCATGATATTAGAATTGACCCCAGGGTTTGCCCCACCCTTGCAGACTTAACCCCTGGGTCATAACTTTGAAACGGTTGAAATCCCTACCCCAAAACTATATATACAAATGCTGGGTAAAAAGAGACAAATGCAGTCATGATATTAGAATTGATCCTGGGGTCTGGCCACAACCGTAGGGACCTAGGTTCTGAGTCACAACTTGGAAACAGTTGAGATCCCCACCCCATAACCATACATAAAATTGCTGGGCATGAAAAATTGAATACAGATATATATGCTACAAGGATTGGCCTTAGGGTCTGGCATATTCCCTTGGATCTCATTTGGAGAATATTCTGCCATGATTGCTTAGATATCCAGGTGAGCGATACAGGCCCTATGGGCCTCTTGTTCTGTATAACCAATTGGTCCAGGGTTATGATATTTTGCCAAAAGCATGCTGGGTTGGAAGACGTTAAACTCTGTTCAACCTTATGTCCTTGTTCGACATTCAAGGTCACACGCGTCATATTTTTAAATCTTTTAATAGGTTCTTATGAATCAAACACTGATATTCTGCCTGTAGCTGTATTTTAGTCCACTTTTAAGATTACAAGTGTGAGATTAATACCAGGTGAGCGATTCAGGCCCATTGGGCCTCTTGTTAGTTGGAGGGACGGGGATCCTTAATCCATAGCTACATGTGTATGATTGGGGTTAATTACTACGTCTGAGAACTCTATATCATGTGACACCTTTGTCACTCCTATCGAAATGTTGTACACCAAATAAGATAAAATATAATTTAAATGGTTTAAAATCTTACTTCATGGATTTTCCTAGGCTAATTGCTATCTTTCCTCTGTATTTGTTATAAGAAGGGATTTTTTTTTTTAAATGTTGAAATGTCGAAACATTCTCTCTGTCTAATTATAGAGTAATAAAAGTAAGCCATGTTAAAATAAAAACAGCTTGTATCGTTTGTTCAAATTTCTTAAAATATATTTTTTGTATTTTTCCAGAGAATTTATTGAAGCAACAAGAGATGACATTGACCAGTTACATTCCAGAGGGTTGGACTCCACCTCCACTGCCCAGGTAGGTTTACATGTAACGGTGGAACAAGAAACAGTTATTAGTCATATATGATGTAAAAGGAAAAATGTTTTCTGTAAAACTTCACCTCCACTGCCCAGGTAGGTTTACATGTAAGGGTGGAACAAGAAACAGTTATTAGTTGTATATGATGTAAAAGGAAAAGCTGTTGATTGTTTTCAGTACCGCCAGCAACAAAAGCAGATTGTGAAAAATTAAATAGGGAATCGTGTTCATTCAAATAAATCTCCTGATAAAGTCCTCCAAGGAAATCAAAACAAAAGGATATATTTGTTGTGGTGATGGTGTAAAATAATAGCTGAAGGGTTATTTATCATCGTAATGAGGACTACTGAGTTACTTCCCTTTGTGATGTATCACTGACTATTTACTTTGCACACAGTCAGGCTTTCCTACAATTTCTGTTCGTTGTCGTTGTTCGTTGGAAAGCCATATCTCATGTGTTCTGGGAGAAAAACAGAAAAGTTTACAATATATCTGTATTGCATAATCTTAGCTGCAGTGTTGGTAAATTTGCTGCCTGGGGTTTCATCATTCATGCACCACATACCCACAGGAGTGTAGGCCAGACTGAGGAACGGAGGTTAGGGATATATAGTCTGGAAGGAACAGTTTGTTCTTGGTGTGCTGCCTTGCCCTTAGTGCGAGATTCAGTGATAGGATACCTAACAATTTGTTTTAAGACATTTGGCACCGTACCAAACTGACACCTACCATTGCATTTGTCGGTGTGTTAAGCAAACAATTTTGTCGCAACTTTTAATTTGGCTTAGAATAAGTGGTCCTTGCACTATTACTACAGAACTTTATGGTGTGACACGTAACATATTATCATGAGATGGAGTGTGCTACTCTTTTAGTTCACAATAGACATAATTGTTTGCCTGCTTTCTCCTGGCAGTTATTCCATGAAAACTTCCTAGAAAATGTTTATTGACCACCTCAGACGTGTTGTAGAACCAAGATGCTGCAGTGAAGGTGAAGATCACAGCTACTTGGTTTTAGAAAATCATAGTCATCACTGTTGTTATTTTAATATCCAATGAATGTACATGAATCTCAGTACCTCATATCAATGTCATGAATGAGGAAGTGTAGGCAAGGGAATTTGTTATGTCTGTGATGACTTTTTGATTAGATTCATATATACTTTTGAAAATAATTTGCAACCCCAAAATATTATAAGAAATGGCAGTGATTTAGTGCAATCCTGAACATCATATTTAGTGGTATGATACCTAACAGTTTATGCGAGAATTGGTGGTGTGAAAGATGTTTTGAAAAACTTTATTTGCATCACCTAGGAATAAAAGTGACCTGATTTTTAACAACTTCGACATATTCCAGTTGTTGTGGTAAAGTTCTAAATTCCTTTGTAATAGTTTTGGAGGTATTTACCACAAAGAGGAAGTTTGAAGTGTTTACATTGAACCAACAACTTCATGGGGATTCATATTTTGATATCACATTACTTTTGATATTTTGGAACATGAAAGTGAACAAAAATACCAACTACAACGTGACCAGATGTTCAGCCTTGGGCTTTATGCTAGACAAGGAAAACTACCTAGTGTGTTGTACTTGTGTTGGACAAGACATACCGGCCAGGGAGTGAGACAAAATGGTGTTGACAGTGTTTAGACTGGAGATTACTGGTGTAGGAGAGTTTACAGGGACAGACATAGATAGACATCACACAATGATGAATGGTGCAATTGTAACTGTCCCAACAAGATCTGGGGGATAATAGACTGGAGCTATAGCATTCCGTATTTACTCCAGGTACCTTGTACTCCCAGAAACATAATCTTAGTTTCCTTTTAACCCTTTCACCCCTAGGTAACTTTAATAGACTCTAACATGCATTTAATGGGATGAGTCCATTTATGGTCTATGGTGATGAATGGGCTAAACTGGAATATGGTAGCAGCTATAGTCTTATAAATGGATTCAATCTGGCTATGTTATTATTCAATTGAGTCCTTATTAAAGAGAAACAGTTTGATTTATTGTAAAGTGTAAATGTAACTTTCTGACTTTTGGACAAATACATTTATATCATAAAGCAAACCATAATTTAAAGGAAAATTAACATAAATATTTATTAATACATCAGTATTTGAGACACATCAAAATAATTAGCTATACAGAATACCTCAAACTTGTTTGAGGTGTTTATTTAGAATAACAAAGCATTCCAATAAAACTTGACCATATTTAGTTTAGAATTAGTGTTGTGTTTAGTTTAGGACTAGTACTAGTGTTGTGTTTAGCCCTTTCACCACTGTAGACCATAATGGACTCATCCAGCTCAATTAATGCATGGTAGAGTTTACTAAAGTTACATAGGGGTGACAGGGTTAGTTCAGAACTAGTGTGGTTAAAACCATCAGACTCTGGTCTTTCCCGCTGGAAACACTTTGTTTCTGAAGTTTATCACTTCAGGGACCACAACAAAAAGATAAAACGTTTGGAAATATTGACTTGTGCAGGGCTATATGGATTCCATTGAGAACAGGTCCTGTTGTTTGTGGCTCTGCCCCGGTAAATTGAATCAATCAGCAAAAACGACCAGTTACAGAGTCTGTTATAGAGTTTCAGCTAATTATAGACCTACAGTTCTAGTTTCCAACCCAGCTTCACACCATTGACATTCCCTAGTGTCACACAATAATTATCTCCCCTTGGTGATTTGGTGATACTGGTACGGCTATCGATTTCTAGCCTCTGGTTAACTTCAAGAAGTATCTGAGTAGAAATACTGAAATGTTCCTTCATTTTGTAAAACAAAACGTTTCATCTGTGTTTCGTTTTCAATCAGATTCAATCAACCTTTCCCAAATTAAGAAGCCATTTTTGAGATCTTCACCGGTACCTATTTCTTGTTCTGAGTTTACTGAGGTACCTGATTTTCATTTAGGTATAGTAATACCTGGCCAATACAGTCCAAGTGGGGGTCCTCCTCACTGGACAATCCTGACTTCAGATGTGGCACTTTTTGTTTAACAAAAAAACCAGATATATATATATCCTAAAGTGAAAATATTAGTTGTTCATACAAGACATTTTTTTCACATCACACTGAAGCTTCAGGCAGCTACTGCCAGATTTATATTTTGTAACAGCCACAGTAGTATAGGACAAACTGTTCCCATTTTGTCATAGGGTAGTTCATCCTCGATATCCAGGAGTTACGCTCACCTTCGCTCTCTGCACCCCTGGAATATGTCATAGCGAAATTGAAGGCATTAAGATAGCTGTTTGATTGGTCTCGGGTAAAAATACCTGACTAATCGCTAAGCCGATACCTGTCCTTTGTAGATTAACAAAGGAGAGACGACTGACTTCAAAGCCTGTCAATTTTAACTAGTCTTCTTGTCTCATCAACAAGGTGGCCCACGCTCATTCTTCAATTTTGCTATGACATATACCAGGGGTGTAGAGAGCGAAACCCCTGGATATCGAGGATGAGGGTAGTTGAGATACATGTATGCTGATCATGATTAAAGATTTTAGTAAAACTTTGATATTATGTCCATCATTTTATTTGCAATCTTTTTTTCAAAATTATCTTTTTCCTTTTATGTTCACAATTCCTAAGCTGATATATTGGCTTGGTGTTACCAGAACTTGACTAGAGGTACAAATCTGTATATAAAGCTTGGTGATACCAGGGTGTCACTAAACGGATGGAGGAAGTATGGGGTTTGGTACAGTAGAACTTGACTAGAGGAAAAAATCTGTATATAAAGCTTGGTGATACCAGGGTGTCACTAAACTGATGGAGGAATTACGGGGTTTGGTACAGTACAAATCTTTGTAATCTTTTCTTTTGCATCTGAAGTTTTTTCTTGAGTGTGTGAATCTCGGCTGTCTTCTTTGCCATGTCTCTGTAGCATTTAGCAACTGAACGCTTCTTTTTTAAGGAAGAATTGGTCTGTGCTGGAGTGACTGCAGGTTGACAATTTGGTGAATTAGGAGGTGTGACCAAGTTCTGAACTTCTTTTTGTCTCTTCTTACGATTTTTCTTTTCCATCCTCCACTTTTTTCGGAGAGTTCTTTTCCCGCGTTCCGTCAGCTCCCCTACTTTTTTACGTTTCCCCACTGTTAAGTCCTCCCTGTATTTCTTTCGCATTTTTTCCTGATGTTTCTCTTTTCTTTCAGGATCAGCATCTCTTCTTTGTCTGTATCGGCGCTGCTTTTCAGCTGCCGAAAGAGCCATGTTCTATGTATGATCTGCAAAAAAAGAAATACCGTTGTTTAGTGATTGCAAAGTCGCTATTCATTTACAATAACATTGAAAAATTATATCAATTAATGTTGTTTGGTATATTTGCTAGGATAAACATTTACAGAAATTGGAATAGAAATAAAAACAAAAATATTTCAAGAAACATGTTTTTTATTACGTCAGTGTTCATTTTCCATTATGTTACTTTTTTGTTTCCGTTATGTTACCTTTACACAATATCTCATATTTCTTCATTTAATAATACTACATTTTTATCAGTCATACTTATGATTTATTTCAGTTGTGATGTAATTTATTATCAAAGTGACACATAATGGTTACATGTCAGTATACATGCATTAAATGGAAATATTTTTACTGGTCCATTATGTTACAGCGATTGTTCTGTTATGTTACTAATTTTGACATAAACAGTTCTGTAAAGGACACTAAAATTATTTTGATGAAATAATGCTATTTGGTAGATTTAGAATACTAAAACAATCAAATAAAGTGAAAACTAAGTTAACAGATGAAATATATTTCAATAGTAATGGCATTTTTATTCATGCTAAGTTTTTTCTTCCGTTGTGTTACCTTTGTGTCCGTTATGTTACCAACAAGTAAAATATCATTTTTCTTTAATTATATGATTCCAATTTCTGTCAGTTGAACCTGTTTCATGATTCAGTTGTTATGCAGTTTATTATTCCATCAATACATAAATGTTATGTATCAATGTGTATGAATTAAACACAAATTGTATTTTTACCGGTCCATTATGTTACAGATACTGTTCCATTATGTTACTAATTTAATTAAAACTTGTTCTGTAAAGTTTCATTAAAGTGTATCTATCAAGTAAAGCTATTTGATAGATCTACAAGATTAAAAGAATCAAATAAAGTGGAAACCAATTCAAAATATGACATATATATTTCTAAATAAATGTGTGTTTTTTTATTATGTTGCTGATTATTTTCCTAACTGATATTAGTTAAATTTAATTAGTACCACACATATCTTATTTCATTGTTTATGCAGTTTAATATCAAAGTTAACAATATAATATTTTTTTTTTTATCAGAGAGTGTTATTAAGATGCAAATTATACCCCTAATTTTCCATTATGTTACATTTATCAGTCTGTTGTGTTACTTTTTGCTTGGTAACATAATAGATCATAACACAACAGAATTATTTCACATATATTTATTTTTTCTCTTTACTTCTATAAGTTTGCCCAAAGTTTAATGCCTAAATTTTGTGTGTTTACCATAGGCGGTATCCAGCTATGTAGCATTTATTTAAATTTTGCTGATTAATTAGTCAAACATGGTAACACAAAAAGAAAATCCAAATGTACACTTTAAGAATTGCTTACCTTTCAATGTGGCTGGATTCAAACTGTTTGAAAATTTCCACCATTCAACTTATGCTGCATCAACAGGAAGGAAGTCTCTTTGCAATGCATTATGGGAAATGGAACAGTGCATGTCAATGGGTTCTCAAATGAACCAAAATAGTAGTGGTAACATAACGGAAAATGGAAGTGAGGACGAGCGCATTTTGATTTAAAAAATATCTTTATTTTTATTTTTTTGCTAATTTTTAATTATAAATGTAAAATAATACATGGTATGTACTATATAATAGGAAAAAATAACATTTCCCTTGCTTATAAATAACATTTATTTGTGCTTGAAAATCACTTTTTGGCCTGGGGACACCCTACATTTTCATTTTTTCAGTTTTCAAACTCCGATAAAAAAATAAATATTTACCTATAAGTAACAATTAATAGATTGTGATATGTATTTTAGTCTAATTTTATCATATTTATCACAAAAATACAATTATTTTTAGCTTGCTAAGCAAAAATTGCATTCAAAGTGCCGAGACAAGAACTTGGACAATTTTTGATAAACGCCCATATAAAGCTTGGTGATACTGTACCAGGGTGTCACTAAACTGATGGAGGAAGTACGGGGTTTGGTACAGTAGAGCTTGACTAGAGGTACAAATCTGTATATAAAGCTTGGTGATACCAGGGTGTCACTAAACTGATGGAGGAAGTATGGGGTTTGGTACAGTAGAACTTGACTAGAGGTACAAATCTGTATATAAAGCTTGGTGATACCAGGGTGTCACTAAACTGATGGAGGAAGTACAGGGTTTGGTACAGTAGAACTTGACTAGAGGTACAAATCTGTATATAAAGCTTGGTGATACCAGGGTGTCACTAAACTGATGGAGGACTTACGGGGTTTGGTACAGTAGAACTTGACTGGAGGTACAAATCTGTATATAACGTTTGGTGATACCAGGGTATCACTAAACTGATGGAGGAAGTATGGGGTTTGGTACAGTAGAACTTGACTAGAGGTACAACTCTGTATATAAAGCTTGGTGATACCAGGGTGTCACTAAACTGATGGAGGAAGTACAGGGTTTGGTACAGTAGAACTTGCCTAGAGGTACAAATCTGTATATAACGTTTGGTGATACCAGGGTGTCACTAAACTGATGGAGGACTTACGGGGTTTGGTACAGTAGAACTTGACTGGAGGTACAAATCTGTATATAGCGTTTGGTGATACCAGGGTGTCACTAAAATGATGGAGGAAGTACGGGGTTTGGTACAGTAGAGCTTGACTAGAGGTACAAATCTGTATATAAAGCTTGGTGATACCAGGGCGTCACTAATCTTTATTAGTCTGACAAATCTGTATATAAAGTCTGACAATCTGCTATGTGTGTTATATGTAGGATGTAGTTAAACCCTGAATTTGTCTGTCAATCATCTCACTTTGATGTCTAAGTAATGGTAGAACATCCTGACCCAGACTTGTCATGTCTGTCAAGGTATATAACATACGACCAGGGTCTGTGATATACAAACATTAACACTGAAACTTGTTATTGTCTGATAGTCTAAAAACATTAAGTGTTGAATAATCAACGACCTGGATTAATGAAATAGGTTTGGTTGCATTTCAATTCTTCAATATTATTATCATCTATAAATACTTTGTGAGTGTTCAATACTATTATCATCTATAAATACTTCGTGAGTGTTCAATATTATTATCATCTATAAATACTTTGTGAGTATTCAATACTATTATCATCTATAAATACTTTGTGAGTGTTCAATATTATTATCATCTATAAATACTTCGTGAGTGTTCAATATTATTATCATCTATAAATACGTTGTGAGTGTTCAATACTATTATCATCTATAAATACTTTGTGAGTGTTCAATATTATTATCATCTGTAAATACTTTGTGAGTGTTCCGTTGTTGTGGTTCGAAGCTTCCTGGTATTGATTATTATTTAAAGTTGACTGCTTAGTCTGTTTGTTATTCTGCAGTTTTACTGACCTAACTGATTCAAAACTAAAGAAGAAAGATGTTATTATATGTCTACATGTGGCTGTCATGCCCCTGTATGTTAACCCTGTCAAGCTTTTAGTGCCAAACAAGGAAGCAACATTATGGTGTGTACAATGATCTGACTGACTGGGATACGTGTACAATGATCTGACTGACTGGGATACATGTACAATGATCTGACTGACTGGGATACGTGTACAATGATCTGACTGACTGGGATACATGTACAATGATCTGACTGACTGGGATACGTGTACAATGATCTGACTGACTGACTGGGATACGTGTACAATGATCTGACTGACTGGGATACCTGTACAATGATCTGACTGACTGAGATACATGTACAATGATCTGACTGACTGGAATACGTGTACAATGATCTGACTGACTGGAATATGTGTACAATGATCTGACTGACTTGGATACGTGTACAATGATCTGACTGACTGGGATACCTGTACAATGATCTGACTGACTGAGATACATGTACAATGATCTGACTGACTGGGACATGTGTACAATGATCTGACTGACTGACTGGGATTCGTGTACAATGATCTGACTGACTGGGATACATGTACAATGATCTGACTGACTGGGATACGTGTACAATGATCTGACTGACTGGAATATGTGTACAATGATCTGACTGACTTGGATACGTGTACAATGATCTGACTGACTGGGATACGTGTACAATGATCTGACTGACTGGGATAC